TTCCCATGAATGAAATTTAATCTGGCACATTTTCTGACAGAAAGATGTGTTTCCTTAGAAAATCTTTAACTAGCTTTAGAGTTCAGCATACAAATGTGATTAATCAAAAAAAGCAATCCAAAAGATGGCTCTTTGTAATGCCAACAAGGCTACTAAGTGATGTGTGTGTTGCAATTGCAATCAAGCATAGCAATTAAACTAGAAAATAATAAGGGCAATTACGTGTACAAAGTTGAAATGCATTGATTTTCCACTGTATGTTCCTTCTTACAGGATCCAGAGAACTTTGGGTTCAGAGAATCCAGTCCATGAGTATTAAATATTTAAAAACCCCTTAAAATGAAAGACATTCTTTTCACATTGTTGCCTCATGGTTCAGGAGTACGTCTCTGTCAGGTGTGGAGTGGCAAATAGGGCAACCAGAACTTCACTGGGAAATGGCTTTTAAAAATTTCATAAAGTTCTTCTAATTGGCCTTGGCTTGACAAACGCAGGCATGTGAAATCCTGAATTTCAGATGAACCTTCAAGTACTATAAGCTACTTGACCCAGAACTGGCTTTGATGTGAAAAAAACTGCTTATAGAGAGCCTAAAGTTATGGGTGCACAGTTTCTTAGCTATAGCTTCCACCAGAGATGGACTCCAGTGAAGTCTATATTACTCTCCTCATACTGGTAAGAGTGAAAACCAGATGGATTGACTTCAGCTGGCATCCCTAGACAAAATGCAGAAGTTCATCAATTCTTTCTGCCCAGAAAGATTTTGGCATCTAAGCATCATTGCGTGCTGTCTCTTGTGCATTTCTAAGCTGCTCTGTTGTATTTTTGGATAATTTTTGCTTCTTCTCTACATGGGAAACTAATAATAGTAGGGACCTTTTAGTCATGTGAAGCACTGAACAGCTTCCTTTTTTTTTTTTAATTTCAGCTATGATTATCATTTATGTCATGTTTATAATAATAGATTTGATTTCTGTTTGCTTGGGATAAGCATCAGGGAAGATAATAATAGAATAAAGTCATACATTGGTAGGAATACTGCTCACATTTTGAAGGCATGCAAGATAGAGGAATAATACAGAAAATGCTTAAAAAAATTAAAAAAGCACAGCATCTTTCCCCATAGTTCTTCAAAATTTATTACAATCAGTCAAGAAGCTTGTTGCCAAGGAGAAAGTTTCTTGGATAATTCCTGGGTCAGCACAGAAACAGATTTCTGCAGGAATGATGGCTGCAGACAATACAAACAAGGGTCAGTGAGGTACACCTAGCTCTGCATTCTGTTTCCGATCAGAGCCAGGAAAGTATGCGTAAGAAGCATTCTAACAGCAGTGCCTATAAGGATTGATGCAGCAATCAGTATATTCTTATTTCTTTCCCAAGCTAGAGAGAGCCTGGGCCATTCACTCTCTCTGTATAGAAACCATCCATCCTTCTCAGCCTTTCCTGTTCATTTTCTAGGACTACTGCTCAGTCTGTAAGATGAGTGGCCACACCACTTGCTCTACTGAAAGCACCAGAGAGTCAATTAAAGTCAGTGAAAAGGAACTAGTGAATTCACTGAGTCTTTGGATCCAGCTTGCTTTTGTGTAATGAAATTGAAAGGTGCAGTTGATTTTCAGAAAGGTGATTAACTCCAATCAAGTAGATAAGCAAACCTATTAAATCAACAAACTCTGGCATGTCCCCCGGTGCCCCTGTGAATCAAGACCTTTAAAGATATAATTGAAAAGTTTTTAATAATTACTTTCTGAATTTCTAGTTTAGTTAGGATCTAGACAATATACAGTGATTAATGACTAGCTAGTCAAGTGCCCATAAAAATGTATTAATCCCTCTGAGACTAATAAAACTTCTCTGAATTAATAGAAGCTGACAATCAAGGATCACATGTTCTCCAGACCTTTTGATACATGTTCTTCCTATTGTTTCCAATAAACTCAGATAGACGAAACTGGATAATTTATTTCCAGTAATTTATCTTTGTTCTCATGGGCTCCTCTCTTCCCGTATTTTCTTCTTGGAGAAACACAGTGAAGGGTAGATCAACATCAGTAAAAACAGGCATAATAAAAATCAACTGAAAGATACCATGTAAGTTCAATTTAATAGCATGGCAGCAGCTGCTTGGTTAGAGTAGAAAATGAGTGGCAAAGAACCATGAATTGTGTCTTATGTACTATGGGGATTCTTTACATCTCTACTATGATTAATTTCATTTTTTCCCTAATTCACACAATGTTTCACCAGCCTACTATATTGCTATGGGTAGGAATGGGTCATGTTGTATGTGCTCTACACATAAAGAACAAAAGAGCAAATTCTGGATGCAAAGATTTTATTTGAGATTTCTGCTGCATGAAACATGAATTATAAAACTGTTAAGGGTGGAGAGAAGCCTGACTTTTTTTGTTGAGAGAGATTTTCAGAAGTTCATAGCTTTTTGCATGATGTTATCCATCATCCATTGATCCATCCGTTGATTCATCCATCCGTTGATCCATCCATCCATCCATCCATCCATCCATCCATCCATCCATCCATCCATCCATCCATCCATCTGTTGATCCATCTGTCTGTCCGTCCGTCTGTCTGTCCATCCAATTCCTAATAAAAGAAAAATAATCTGGCTAGAACTATACTCAGCTCGGAGAGTTTGAAGTATTTCTCACCTGCAGACTATTTTGCAGTTTACATAAAACTAACTGGATTCAGTTCAGGCCCAATAAACAAGAAGACTAAAATTCAAACTGTATTTTTTTGTTGGATTTGGCAAGTGATTAGGACTGTGCAACAGCCATCTCAGATGTTATTCTTCTTTCTAGCAGTGGAGCTTTCTCCTTCAGAAAACATGGTGTATCAGAAAAAAACCACAGTGTACTGCCTCACTATAGGACATAGGAATCTAGGTGAGATACAAGGAGAAATCACTCCAGTGCCCAGTGTTGCAGTCATGCCCATAAACAGATGAATGCTACATTTCCAAAGGACACACCACCCCTGAATAGACAGAAGTAGGAATGAAATATGAGCTTCAGGGCTCTATAACTGGAACACTGTAAGGTGCTTGCTCCTAAGAGGAGAATTGGAAGTGTATCTCAGAAGGCTTAGGACAGTGTATGCTTCTTTAGGGTCATTGTTTAGGCAAGTGGAGTGAAGAGCTTTAAAATGCTTGTTGAGGTGATAAGAAATCTGAAGAGCTTGCTGCCTTCAGAAAGATGAGTTGTGACTTCACTCGGGAGCTAGAGGACATGTTATCAGTGTGTTGATTAATGTAAAAGGATCTGTTTGGGTTGGTAGGTAAAAAAAACCCAAGAATCTGAGGTGGAGAAGATGGAACAATTGTCTATTTAAATTAAACCAAAGGTCAGTTCTTTTCCCAGTTTATGTGTCATTTCAGAGGGAAGAAGCTTGAGAAATATTATGAACATGGTGTACCGTATACTGTTCAGCTGGGAAAATGCCACAGTGATAGAAAAACTGCAGGATCTAATGTTTATTCCCAGTTTTCACTCAAGCTGTTTCAGCTAAATATACTGCAGGACTGTAAGAAAGCCTATGATACAATATAAACTGCCTTCTTTCTTTGTACAAAGTTGATGGACAATTTTAAGTGAATTTTTCTTCTAAGTGATAAATTTGTTTAGGGACTGACTCTTTTTTTTGGCTTAGATATAACATTTATTCCCTGATGATGGACCACTTTGATCATTAGAATAAGCTGCCACTACAGCGCTATCATGTTCTATATCATTTATTCAAGGTTGTTGAAAGAAGACTGAACCTCTTATGAATATTAAGTATTCCGACATGCACTTTTTACTACTTTTAAACAATTTTATGAAGGAAAAGCAGGGAAACAATGACCTTATTCTAGTCAGTTCTATGTGTAAAAGCAGATCTCACCATTGTTCATTCATCTCTGATGCTAAAAATCAGGGAGATGGAATTGGAAGATGTGAAGTCATTTGTAATATGAAGGGTCTTTTGCTGACTCGTTCACAGGTGAATGTCAGCAGGCCAATCCATCAGCAAAGAGGAGGGGAAAGGAGGAGTATATCTGGGCTGCTCTGAACCAACTCTGTTAGATCATCTGCTTGCCGAGGCAAAGGCCGCAGCAAAGCACAGCCACATGGGAAGGTCAGTGCAGGGATGGACCCTGGATGATTCACTCTGCTTTTATCCACAGCCTGTATTTGCTGGACAGAATGGAGGTTTTATTCAGTCTCAATTCAGTCAGAAGGGGACAATTTATGCAAGTAAAAAGGATCCTTTCAAAGAATAAGAGATCAATGACCTATTGTCAGCCAATGAGCTATACCCAATGAGGGCTGTGCAGAGAAATCTGTCTGCAAACTACCCCTTCACCGTGTACTTATGTTTAATATGTCTTTAGGTATATAATGCTCCATCTTCCTTCCACTGCACATCACACAATGATCTATTCTCAGGCATCTGCCTTTTGCCTGAAAATTTCCAGTGTAGCGAGAAATAGATAAAATGAAGGAAAACAGCTCCTCTGCAGACCCTGAACAAGAAATCTAGCACAACTCAAATTGCATGCCTTAAATCATAGTTTATAGAGTAGCTACCCACAGAGCAATGGTTGGTTGTCGGGTGGTGAGAGATGGGAATGGCTTGTTGAAGTGTGTGCTCACCTGCTGTGGCACTAGAGTGTGCTGCGGGCCTCAAATGCATCAGTCCTCAGTAGGAAGCACTGCCCTGTAGGTTTGCCAGTGCTCCAAACTGCTTTCAGATGCAGCTATATCTGAGCTGTGATGTAAGGCCATCAGATGTAGAAGGCAGAGGGGGCATGGTTTGGCCCATACCTGAGCCAATACTGTACTATTTCCAAAGTGCATTGGAAGCAGCATGTGTCTATTATTATACAAGTGAAATTTCCATAAAATATCATCTTCACTGTGAATAGGACTTGGGAGAATAAAACAGTCATTGGCAGCTGCAGTTTCTCCTTACTGTAGTTAATAATTAATCCTTGAAAAAAGGTGACTCCATTTAGTTTGTTTCCTTTATTTGGTCATTTATCAAAGTAGCTCTGGTACCTTTTTTTCTCTGCAAAAATTTAGGAAAACAGGATCTGGGAATGGGAATGTGTGCTGTTTCATATTGATAGTGCATTGCCTGGCTGGTTTGATTAAATTTCTTAATGGAAGTGCACGATTACTTTCTTTATAATAATATATCCTTAGGGACACGTTTGTTCTTTTGGAGGTTGATTTTCAAAGCCTGTACTGTGTCCTTGCTCTGGTATGCAGCATGTCCTCCAGCAGCCATCTGAAGGTAAGTCAGTGGTGTCCTACACCTCATGCAACTGCTCTTTTAGAGTGGTTGAAGTTCAACACTGCACTCAGGGGGAAGATACTTTATTCACAAAGTGTGTTAGCTTGATGCAGCTGGGACCAAAAGCTGTCCTCCTTCTTCACTAAAATCAGCCTTTCACCCCATGAGGAGGGGTTTGGGTTAGCAGCACTCTTTCTCCTCTCCTGTTGGCAGAAATGGTGCTATTGCTACCATGTGGCTTCACTTCATGGCTTGGGGTGTGAGAAATGATCTTTCCAGGGGCTCCTTCCAGAGCTCAAGTTACTGGTGAGCATTAAACTTGCCAAATCCGGGATTTTTGGCTTTATCTGCACTGGTTTATCCTGAGTTTTATTTCTATCTCTGATTTGTTCCTCCTTTCACCTCTAGATTTCACCCCACATAATTGATACAATGCCATTGCTTTTAAGTGTGTTGTTTGCACAGTAACAGTCCCAATTACTCAGGGATTACTGACTTTAGCCTTTTACAATGCACTAGCCTCAGGAAGTACCATGACCCCAATTACTACAGATATGTTCATGGATCAAAGATCCTGCAGTCAGACTTCTCCCACTGACTAATCATTAACCAGGAGGAACATTGTGGAGCTCCTACTGTTTTTCTTGAGTTACTTTCATGGACAACCATATAGCATGTACCTTGCTGCTATCATCCTTAGGGGTCTTCCAGAATATTAGTCAGTTAAAACTGACAGGATTTCTAGAAGGGATTTAGATCAACTTAGTGGAAATAGAGCTTGAAAACACTTTAGGGTGCAACATCTGTCCCATTTTCTCCATCCTTACTGGTTGCTCAATTAGCATGGAACATAGAATGTAATGAAGGGCAATTTTTTTATACCTAATTGGCATCGTCTACACAAGTCACAAGTTGTCCCTAAGAGTTCAAGGTAAGTGGAAGTTACTTTAGGGTACAAGAAGTTGAAGTGCTGTCTCGGTATACGCACATATTATTGTACATGACATTCAAGGCAACAGATCCTCAACTGCATTTTTGGTGGGACAACTGATTTCCAGGGTGCTAGGTATTCCTGTAAATGTGGGAGAGGTTGAGAGGGGATTTCTGATGTGATCATTTAACTTTTTTCATAGGAGCAGGTAGCTGTTGCTGCATTTGTAGTCAGATCCTATTTTTTGTCACCAGGAAACGCATTCCTTTACCCACTCAATAAATTAAGAAAACATACACACATCTACAGAGCCATTTATATAAGCACTACAAAATTGTGTTTGTCAGGAAGCCTTGCATTAAAACCTTTATTCCTGATTAGAAGATGGCATGCTGAGTACTTCATCCCACTTTACGCTTCAAATCAAGCTATTATTAAGGCATTTGTCCGTTCATGTTTTCGCTTAATAAGAGCTGTTCTTTAAAAATGCTACAAGGATGCATCCAATATAAAATTTCAGCAAAAAGTGTGATTTTGTTAATCATCTCCTTACAAAATAAAAAAGTAAATCCTGCTTTTCCAAGACTTGAGTAACACTGAGTACATAGATGTGAATCTGGGTATTGGGTATTGCCACCTTCCCTTTAGCATAACTTTGTAATTGCCACATGGAACTTGGCTCATGTTACATCCCTTTTAGTGTAGTGTAATGCTGCAATGCATGTGGAATCTATGTTCATTTAAATCAGAGGATCTAGCCTTTATGATAATAGAAGGAGCATATCATATAACCATGGAAAGGTTTGGGTTGAAAGAGACCTTTAATGGTCCTACAGTCCAAACCCCCACAATGAGAAGGGATATCTTTTACTAGATAAGGTTGCTCAGAGCCTCAACCAGGCTGGCCTTGAATGTTATCAGGGATAGGGCATCTACCACCTCTCTGGGCAACCTGTACCAGCATTTCACCACCCTTACTGTAAAAAAATTTCTTCATTCTTATATTTTAGGGGGGAAGACTGGGAAATACGGGGTGTTAGGGCTGGAAAGCTTGTAGGATTTGCTCATCTCCTTTCTTAGTTCCGGGAAAACAAATTATGTGATAAAATAATTGGGGAAACTGAGTACAGACAGTAGTACATGGAGACAGGACTGCTGCTGAGAGATGGGTTGGGAAAAGCAGCCGAGACTCACTGGAGACAACTTACATGTGGCCACATGGAAGCAATCAGCCAGGCTGGACTGCTCTTTCTCCACAGTAGCCCTGGGAATGACCAGGCCTCTATTTGCTGCTGTGGTCACTGATTCAAGAGCTTTGCAAAGAGCTTTAAACCCCTGCAAAGATGTACTGGAGATCATACAGTATGAAAATCACTTTTTCTTAGCACTCCCATTGCATTTTATCAGCATTCAGTACGTCAGAGTCTGCTCTCACCCCCACCAAATCAGAGCCCTGCAGCCATCTATGATGTTGCATATCTTTACAAAGAGTATCTTCTCTGTTTGCTGGTGGTGATAGTCACTATCCTTGCATTATGTTTAGCGGAGCATTTTGGCTTGTTTCTCTTGCCTCAGCTTCTGTGGAGATACTGCTTATGTGATAGCTAGCATATTGCTTACGTGATAACTAGCAAAATGACAAGGATTATAGGAATAAGAAAGTGTTAAAGGAATAGTACTTTCGTTTCTTGATTTCTTAATTTGAAGTGGTTTTAAATTTGGAAAAATGTAAGGTCCAAAAATGCAGCCTCCCGTGACTAATGTTTTATAAACACTCAGATGGAGACAGATTGAAAAATTGCTGGAGTCAAACCTGCGACTATTAAGCAAGTTCTCTTACATGCTCTCGGATCTTTCTTGAACATGATATAGTTAAGGGGAAAACACACTGCGTCTTCATTGCAGATATAAAAGATAATGCTCTATAAATAAATGTGCAATCATTAAATAATATTTACTTTAAATACATATCTACAGACATTCATGCAGATAATGTTCATAAAAAAATGAGCAGAGTTTTTAGTGCAGCATATTCCTCAGCAATGACTTGTTCAATTTTACGTCACTTGAATTTGAAGGGTGATTTATTCAGAGTGTTTTGCAGCACCATTTGTTTTACATTTGAAATGTCAATGGTAACTGAGGTGTCTTCTGTGAAATGTCAGCAAAACGTAATCCAGGGATCCATTGGGATGGTAAGAAAAGGCCTCTGATCCTTAAGTGAGACTGGACCATGCAGATTTGTTTGGGAGGGTAAGTTTTGCTCTAGCACCTGATAGGTATGGGGACACCTGTACTGGGGCGGGGGTCACTTCATTAGTGGTAAGGGCCACGTTAATCAGCACAGCTCCTTTCTTGTGATGTGACTTCAAGCACATGGTGCCTGAAGAAGAGCTGGTGTGGAGGACACTGACCTCTGGCTGCCTCCTCCCTCTGGGTAAATCAGTGATCCAAAGATGGAAACTGTCAATGTGCAAAATTTCATTAACTTGCAAAGCTGTTAAAACAGAGTCCCCCAGGCCAGACTGCAGATCTGCAAATCATGATGTAATGTAGAGGTGAATAATAAAATATCAGAAAAGGCGAGCAGAGGGCACAGTACTGATGTTTCCCATTACTCCTCAGTGAGGCTGCTCCCAAGTGCCCACTGAAACACCCAGCAACACAGCCTTGATCTTTGGAGAATGGGAGCACCCTGAAGTCAGTGTCTGCAGATCTCCCTCTGTACAGGAGCTGCACTGACATTGTCACAACCATAGTCTGAAGGAAGAAAGCTGCCACTAGCAAGAAAAATTGTCTCTTGTTAGGGGTATTCAGGGTTGCAATAGAGTAACTGCTGCCTAGCCTAGTGTGTAGTCTTCTGCTCTGCTGCTTCAAAAAAGACAGGATAGTAAGAGCAGTGTCAGTTTCATATTACTTTGAATGTATTACCTGATGATCTGAAATGTGGTTTTCTTAGCAGTTGTGTTGCTGATTACCTCCATTTTAATATTAGTGACTTATTCTGGTATGGCAATTCTCTATGCTTTAAGAAAGAAAGATTAACACAAACAGTCTGTGATTCACAAGCCTTTTCAGCCTCACTCTAGCAAAATCATATGGAAGCATAAGGATTTGAACTTCCACGAACTAAAATATGAGGGAAAAGTTCATATATGCTCTGAAAAACAACACTGTGGGACTCACACTGCTTCACACATTGCCAGCTTGTGTAATGTTTTCCACTCAGTGTGTAATAAATGATAATGGAGCAAGTCACTAAGAGATAACATAGCTTGCCAATAGTGTGCAGACATAACCAAATTAAGACACTGTGCACCCTTAAGTTTTCAGGCTACCTTGGCAACGCTAATGAACTTTTAATGGTTGAAAAGTCCAGAACAGTTTAAGCTTTTCTTTTCTAAACAAACTTTGAACAGCCTTTACTCAAATTAAACGCACTCCCCTACCTCTCCTTACTTTTGCAATAGATTTATTTTTTTTCCCCCTGGGCTGGACTCAATAATGTGTTATTTCCTCTGATTCATGGGTAGAGAATACTTCCTCAAATCTTTTTCACTTTCACACTGACAATGAACCCACAGAGTGGAAATCCAGGCTGATTCAGCCTTCACATCAGCTTCTGTGAAAGAATCACCCTTATTTCCAATTACCCAAAGCAGTGGCTGCTAAAGTATTGATGCTTCTAAGCTACAGACATCAGAAATTAGTTACTGAGGCAAATTGCCTTGCTGTGCTTCCATTTTCAAATGTAATTCCACTGAAGGGACACTTGATTTTCTCATTAAGTCCTTTTTTCTAAGGACAAATCAACATGGAGAACTTTCTTGGACATGAAGTTCTGTTGCACAGTGCAGTTTTAAGGTGCAGTAATTAAAGAGCTTGGTCTGAGGCCACTATCTGACCTCTCTCTGAAGAGGTCTTCTGCAGGGCTCTTGTCTTAACAAGACCAGCTGATGGATCTTGTCAAGCACAGTTTTTTTGGCTCCAGTGATTGGTGCTGAATCAGTATGGAGAAGTGCTGGGCAGGGTTTGTGGATGAGCCCTAGAGCTCCTGCCCTAAAGCCAG